TCCTGTGAAAATTATTCAGATATTTACGGGTAAAGATAATTTCTATATTTGCTGACTGGGAAGGATTATGATCATATCTGTCAGTCGATTCTTATTGGAAGTTTGCACCTATACCTAGGAACACACAAGCTGAATGTCTTTTTTCTCTCTCCATATCATGAACAGATAAAAAAATTTGTTTGAAAGGACAGTACTCTGATATTTGAAGATCTCTGAAATAGTAATGAGTTTTGCTGGTAACGGAATGGTAATTATATCTTTATACAACAGAATAGTTCAAAGTAACAAAGAAAACAAGATGGTATTACTCACTATAGCCGTTTCAATGTCTCCCGCAGATGAAAACGTTGCGGCAGATGGTGATGTCCGAACTGGAAAATGCGTTAGCACAGCAAGCACCCCCACCCCCACAGGATGACCCGTCGTTGCATGAATTACCTCCCCTTGTCATAGATGGCATTCCGACTCCTGTAGAAAAGATGACGCAAGCACAACTCAGAGCTTTTATTCCTTTAATGCTGAAATATTCTACAGGTAAGAGGTTTCGTTATTTATTTTTATAAGTTATAAAGCTCATCCTAGTTGGTTGTAGAATTGCTAATAAATTAACTGTTTATGTATAGAAAAAGGAGGAGAATAATTCTCTTTCATAGTATAAGAGATGTATTTAATGTTTTTTTTATGACATTGTCATCAGAAATGCATGAATGATAACTGCTGAGTTCATATTCTTGTTCAATACAATGAAGATCAAGCAATCCAGAGGTTTCTGTTGGTAGATCTATGATATTGAAAAAGTATAGAGGATTGATGTAGTTGTAAGTGTTTAGGCCTGGGTGGGGTGTGTTGTTAAGAGAGAGACTGGAATACTTTTAACAAATAGCAATAACAAGAATGGGTCATTACACTGCAATATTTATCTTAGGGAGAGGTAAGCCAGGCTGGGGCAAGGAATCTACTCGGCCGCCCTGGTGGCCGAAAGATGTTCCGTGGGCGAATGTTAGAATGGATGCGCGATCAGAGGACCAAAAACAGAAGGTAAGATTATGCATTAATTGTATATTGAGTATTATTTGATGGTTATTGTTGGGATTATATGAAAAATGTTCAAAGGAATTTAGAGGCATATGTTTATTGGTGTATTTAAATTGCTGTATACGCAAGAACTAGAACAACTGCATCATTTTTTTTCTTTGTTTTTCTTCACATCTATTTTTAGGTATTACATCACAACCTTAACTATCAAAATGTTATAATATTCATGTAGTATAATTCTAAGAGCTGGAATGCTAAGAAAAATATAGGAATGTATGAACAGTATCATTAGATCATTTGAGTTTGATTAATATATATTAGAGTATACATGATTTTAAGTGATATTTATTGGAGCATATATGTCATCATTATTCTCTATATTATATAATACTTGATGTTGTATTTGGGTAATATTTACTTTTGCAGTTATACTAGTGATATATTTACAACTAATCTGAATTCCTGTTGCTTTATTGAGAGGTGAAAAATATTAAGTCATGTATTACTATATCCAGGACTGTGGATTTGTAATCTTGATAGTGAGAAGAATGTGAAGTGTAGTAATAAATAAGCAAATGATTTAAGTTGAAAAGATTAGAAACAGGTTGGGGATCCTGGAAGCCTAAGTTTTTGTGATGCTCTCCCCAGGTATCTTGGACGACTGCTCTACGTCAGATTGTAGTCAATTGTTATAAATACCACGGGCGAGATGATCTCTTGCCGGCATTTAACGAAGAGGAAGAGAAGACTCAGGTATGACCCTTGGTGTTGGTAGTCGTGCCAGGATCAAAATGTCTGTTTTTGGATCATAATGGTGATTTTTATAGAAGTTGCAGTTATTTAACTCATTGTGCTTGTTAAAGTAATAAGGAAAAAAAAACTGTCTAAGCATTTATTATCAGTGTGAATTTAACTTGTAATTGCTTACTAGTTTTTTGTTAAGAAGAATGTGCATTTAGACATAATTTTCAAGATGTTTATAGAGACAATTGTTGGGCTTCTGTAATAACCAAAGATTAGTGGGCGCTCAGATGAATTGTATAGTATAATTGACGCTTGCCTATTTTTTTCAAATACATGTTTTGTTCATAAAGTTTTGATGTTTGCCTTGGTGCAGGTTGGTGGTCCAGTGAACCCAGTGTATTCAGGTCCAGTGGTACAGACCATTAGCAATCCAGATGGTACAGTTTCAATCATCCAGGTGGATCCTAGTAACCCTGTCATCCAACTGCCAGATGGAACCACCGCGCACGTACAAGGCGTTGCCCACGTAAGCATTTTTCTCTGTCTCTTGGTAGATTCTCTGTTATTTTAGATACATATCTGAAGATAGTGTGATAGTTGCAGCTTTGCTAATTTGGTATTTAAGGGGTGTATGTTGCAGAATATTAGTTTATGAAGACTGAGGTATTTCTACAAAATATTCTTAAATTTGTAAAAAGTTTCCCCCCATAATATAATAGTCATTAGCACTTTTATATTTGCTCTTTTTAAGGTTAATGAGATTCATATTAATTTTAGATGATTATGCTACTTTTTGAAATATGTTCTAAGAGTACAAAAATAATTCAGATATGTATCTGGAAAAAAAAAAAAAAATTATATATCATTAAACATGTTTACATTGAAAGTCTGTGGTCTGATGTATTTATTGAAGTAATGTATTTATTGAAATTACCAGAGTTTTGACTCACTAGCTTCAGGAAGCCTCACTTCTGATAATAAGATCATATAAACGTACTAAAGTAATTATAGGATATTATGCTCAGTATTTATGATTATTTGTTAAACAAGTGTTTCTCTAAATTATATTACTGTGGTCACTATCCAGTTCCATTGGTTGTTATGCAGTTATGTTTTTGCCTTCACCTAACAAGCACCATTCCCTATCCTGCAAAAAGAATGTGATTGTATGGACTAACCTAAATATGTGAAAAATGTATTCAGCTTTAGAATTAAAAAAAGAAAAAAAAAATCTTTAAAATGCACATGATGAATGCTTTTGAAATTTTGGAGAAGCTGTATCAGTATTCAAAAAGTAAACACTTCTTTGTAAATGAAATTGTGATCTTGGTTTTTATCCACATCGTGTCCAGTGCTGGTGTCATTTGTCCACTTGTTGATATGAAAGCTATGAATTTTCCGTCATATGACTGGAGATGGTAGCATGGTTCATACTATGATTATATGCATAAGGATATTACAGTGCATTACCTAAAAGCAACAGGGCACAGATTTTATGATTTACAAATGAAAAGTGTTTATTTAAGAAGACTATTGTAGTTGCTGATGAAGGGACTCATCACTAAGGTTATTAATTACCTGTAGATTTTGCCTCAACCTGAAATAACTCTTCTTGAGAATTATGTACTTTGATAGGACTACCTAGTTACTACTGTAAAGTTATTTTGTATTTTTGTCTGAATAGGAATTTTTGAAAGAAAGTGAATATGTTTTGATGTTTCATTAGATTTTTGAGTTGAAAGAGATCAAGTCCAGAACAAATATGAGTTGGAAATCTGAAGGCCGGGTGATGGTTCCCCTCTGGTAGTGCATGTTAGGGAGAAGTGATATCATGCATGGTTGGTATTGTGTGCATGATCTACTAACCCAGGGTTGGAGTTTTGGATTAACCTTCGGTGTCCTATATTTTTTCCTACACAAGTCCTATAGTGAAGGAAAGGGATAAATTATGCTGAAAATTATAGTCAAATGTATAGTATTATACACAATTTTTTTTCTGCTTATTGTTAATTACTGTATATACTCTACAATCTGCATGTAATCTTACCTGTTATAGTCTAACACAACACAAAAAGACAACTTTTTTTGTAGTCCAACCTAACCTATTGTAGCTTGCTTTATAATATTTAGATATGCTGCATTGTTCTTAAAGAATGGTTATTTTCTTTAATCCATTGCTGCTCAGTACATGCAGTGTCCACATTTTTTTTCCCCAATTTTGTCTACACATAGATGGCTTCACAATTGTTTAGTCAGCAAGCAGTTAGTTACAAGGCCTAACTGATGTCACTTGTTTATCTTATTTCATGAATTTTAGGTAAAAAAAAATTGATGCAAGTGTTATTATTATTATCTTTTTTACAATATTGTAATGTTATTAACAATACTGAAAGCAATAAAGATAAAAAATTCTGTCTAAACTTTCTATTAATAAGGCAAATAAGTGAGATCAGGTAGGCCATATAATTGCCTGCTTGGTTGACTAAGCACTTATAGAGCCATGTAAGTGTAAAAAATAAATGAACAAAAATCACGTGGACAGAGTATGTATACAGACCCTCTGATTTAACCCAATGGCGCCGGGTGTACAAAACAAAAAAAAAAAAACTCTACGCTTAAGCAAACAAAGGCGGCGTGCCGCCTTTGAGCGCGTGAGTAGGGGACATCAGCCCGAATCACTGGCTCGCTGCGCTTTGGCGCGCCGCCGGCTCGTTTGGCTGCACGCCAGCTTTCTAGCGCTTTGTTTACACGCCGATCGGCGTCACCCGGCACCAAGGGGTTAAGAGAAGTGCTAACTTTAGTGAGATAAATACCAAGTACAACATGTCTTGAGTGTCTGCATGTTGCATGTGTTCCCATGTGGCTTACAGCCTGTGCAAAAAGTTACTCAGCCACTTGCCACCATTATGTCTCCCATTTGATGTGAGTCTTATTCCAGTATATCAAAAGGAATCATGTTAGTTTATATTTAATTGCAATGCCTCAACTTTTTTGTACTTTTTCTACACTGTCTGGTAGTCTGTTACCTAAATTTTTGAGTATTCTAGGCTGAAATTTTAAAGTTTCTTTTGGAATAGATGTATGGTAAATTATTTGAGTCATGAAAAAGCCTAATGCACAATTTTTTTTACCTAATAAATGTCAGGTCTTTATAACTTTTAGCAAAGCATTCTCTTATGCCTACGATTTATGAATGACTTCCTCTGAATTTGCAGTTTGTCATATGAGGGATGAAGAAACACTCTCACTAATAGATGACTTTGTTCTTGGATGAAAACTCTCCGTGTTTGGGTTTAGCTTCTTTTGACCTGCTTCTTAAGGTTCCTTGTCTTTCCAAACTTTCTTAGGCTTGTCAAGTGAGCTGCAGGGATGGGGTGCATTATCATAGCTACAGCCAGCCTTAATGCTTTATGGATGTTACTTATACCTTTAATTATTTTCTCATCCCTGTGTTTCTTTGCCATGTTTCCTAGGCTGTAAAAATAATGATAATGATAATATAAAAAAAAAAAAAAAAAAAACTCTACGCTTAAGCAAACAAAGGCGGCGTGCCTCCTTTGAGCGCGTGAGTAGGGGACATCAGCCCGAATCACTGGCCGCCGCGCTTTGGCGCGCCGCCGGCTCGTTTGGCTGCACGCCAGCTTTCTAGCGCTTTGTTTACACGCCGATCGGCGTCACCCGGCACCAAGGGGTTAAGAGAAGTGCTAACTTTAGTGAGATAAATACCAAGTACAACATGTCTTGAGTGTCTGCATGTTGCATGTGTTCCCATGTGGCTTACAGCCTGTGCAAAAAGTTACTCAGCCACTTGCCACCATTATGTCTCCCATTTGATGTGAGTCTTATTCCAGTATATCAAAAGGAATCATGTTAGTTTATATTTAATTGCAATGCCTCAACTTTTTTGTACTTTTTCTACACTGTCTGGTAGTCTGTTACCTAAATTTTTGAGTATTCTAGGCTGAAATTTTAAAGTTTCTTTTGGAATAGATGTATGGTAAATTATTTGAGTCATGAAAAAGCCTAATGCACAATTTTTTTACCTAATAAATGTCAGGTCTTTATAACTTTTAGCAAAGCATTCTCTTATGCCTACGATTTATGAATGACTTCCTCTGAATTTGCAGTTTATCATATGAGGGATGAAGAAACACTCTCACTAATAGATGACTTTGTTCTTGGATGAAAACTCTCCGTGTTTGGGTTTAGCTTCTTTTGACCTGCTTCTTAAGGTTCCTTATCTTTCCAAACATTCTTAGGCTTGTCAAGTGAGCTGCAGGGATGGGGTGCATTATCATAGCTACAGCCAGCCTTAATGCTTTATGGATGTTACTTATACCTTTAATTATTTTCTCATCCCTGTGTTTCTTTGCCATGTTTCCTAGGCTGTAAAAATAATGATAATGATAATATAAAAAAAAAAATGTTGCTGGGGGTGGCCTTGAGTGTAGAGTGAGGTATAGCAGTTAAGTGGTGCTCAGTAAAAGATAAAATGAAGTGTATGCTGCCAGATGCATGTTTTCCCATCTTTGCTTGCAGCACACTTGCATTTTCACCTTTTTCTGGAATTCTGTACCTGGTGTGGTATGCTGAGTTTTTGTACAGTTTGTATATTTGTGTTGCATGCAAATCAGTGATGTGGCAGCTTGTTTAATGTAGCTTGTATTTGCTTATTTATATAACAGTAAGTACTCTCTTAATGTTATTAGATTCACTTTTGTTCTCATTATAGGGAGAAGTTGTAAGGAAAGGAAGTTTGTATGTTTCTAAGGTCATGAATTGAAATGTGTAATTTATCACAAGCTTTGCTTCAGTATTATTAATGTGTATTGCTCTTTTTGAGATAGTGCAATACTAAAAAACATGATAACATTAAGAGATGGCTTACTGTCTGTAGTCTTACATTGTGAAATGCTAACCCTTGTAGATTGCATGAATGCTCCTCCTGGGTGCTGGTGACTAACCTATCAGCTATAAAAAGGGATGAGGTTGTTGACCCTACAGATCACAACACAGAATGGAGAGTCGGTGGACGGAGAGAGCGGGAGTTCGGTGGCCATCGACCTCAACCACGTCTCCGAGGGATCCTTAGGTCAAGAGGGAACCATCATAATAACAGGAGAGGATGGATCACAGAGTAAGTTTGTGCTGTCAGTTACGTCAAAATGCCTAAAATACTTAGGAGATTCTCTGATTTACCACAAAATGTGATTCATGCAATAACTAATGTCTGTCGTTCTTCTTCCTCCAGTACCTGTGAATGTTTCGGGAGCATATCCTGTGTCAGGAATGATAACGGTACCCCTACCAGTATACCAGACTGTCGTTGCGAACATTCAAGGTGCAGATGGTCAGCCACTGCAAGTGGTTACGCCAATCGTACAGGTGCCCAAACTTGAACCTGGGTTAGACAATAATGTTGAAGTTCCTGCAGCTCTTAATGCGTCACTGGATGCATCGACTATTATATCTTCTGGACAAGGTCATGTACAGGTATGACAGATTTCATTCTTTGTATTGAAACTGCCAAGAGTATGTGATGATAGGGTTTGTAATTTATCCCTGGTGTATTTTTTATTTTACTGAGCTTCATATGCTCCCACGTTTTTCAGGATGATGATGACGATGGAAGTGTAGACATGGTCGAGACCAAAGATTGATGAGGCATAAGATCACCTGAATGTGATGGGATAAAGTAACATAGACCAATGTTACTGAGTTTAGCTGAAAGCTTAGCTTCTTCCCATACACACTTATGTCTTTCTGCCCATCTCAGCTTCTCACCAAAGACTAGGGTGTGGATTCTAGTATATTCTTCAGGAATTGCAGAATATGAGAGGACTTTATATATCCTCTGCTACATTGGCCAGTATCACCTTCACAACATCTGCTGACTGATTGTTCCAAATTTTCCGCATCTACTGTAACAGAATCTGCCCCTAGGCACAGGATGAAACCATACCAGACAGTGTCAGTCAGGTTAGAGGCCCACCGCTTGTGGTTTGTTTTTACAAGAAAATCTATTTTTGTATGAAGATAAAAAAAAAAACAGTGGCATTGGATAGAGTAAAGCAAACTGTGAGATGTGCAGGGGTCGGGTTTTAAACAAGTTCTGTTTCGGTATGGGTTTTTATTCTGTCGACTCCTAGATAGTGTGTTGTCTCAAGGGATGAGTTTGGACTCTTGCTTCCCTTTTTGAATTACAGTTCAGAAATAAGGAAATGATGTAGCTTATCCTCTTATTAAGCTGTCAAAGATATGTATGACCTTTTCTATGATTTCTGTTGTTAGTAAAGTTTATGTTGACAGAGACTTTAAGGCGTGTGACAGCTTTACTATTGAGACATTCAGCCAACTAGGATGAAAGAGGCATATTATTATTATTATTATTATTATTATTATTATTATTATTATTATTATTATTATTATTATTATTATTATTATTATTATTATTATTGTTATTATTATTATTATTATTATTATTATTATTATTATTGTTTACATAATCATTATGCTCATTATCACCATTATTATCATTACTGATTATGGTCACCATTTTCATTGTCATTCGAATCATAGTTATATTTATTATTGTTGTTATTCTTCTATTATTATTTATTACTAATACTGATTATTTTTAATAATGATAATTATTAATTGTTCTTAGTAATACTTAATGATACAGTAATACTTCCCATTGCAGTGTGAATTTGTATTTTTATTATACTTATGATTTATCTTATCATCACTACCAACTGGATTGATATTGATAATTTTATTGATTGTTATTATTTTATGATTATGCATAATTTCTTTGTTCTGTTGTCTTTTAAGTTAAGGTAATACACCCTGTGTATCAGTGCAATTAGGTCCTGAGTGTACCCTGTAATTTTAAAGTATTTATTTCTCCATTTCACCTCCCCTCTCCCTCCTCACCCCTCCTCCCCAGTGAGGCTAATGTAGTTTGCTTTGTATTTGTCAAGTGTAATAGGAGTTGCTCAATGTTGTATAGCTTAGCAGCAGTGTATTAAAGTGGGAATGACTTTCCTCAGTGTGTGCTACAAGGGAAAAACTTCTGCCTGGTGAGACAGTCAGGAATTCTGGACCATTTAACTGGGTGCAGAAGGTTTAAGAGCAGTTGATGAGTGTGCTGGGAAAGTATGTAGTTGTTGTTATTACTATTTTTTTCATTATTGATCATAGACTTTGTTCATTTGTCTGGTTAAACATTTTCCCTCCACAGAAAGAGATCTTGGTAGAAATTATGATTTTAGAGGAAATGCTCATTGATTTGTTTTACTTTTATTTATTATTCATGGGGAGAAAAAAACAATGAATATTGGATGAGATGAGGCCTCTTTCTCTAAGTTTGGTACTGACAATAAGAGTCACTTTTAGTTTGGTGACTTTAAACTTAAAAAAAAAAAACCCTAGGATGTGACATCATATGTATTGAAGTTGTGGAAGGATAGCATTGTTGCAAAAAAAAAACAAAAAAACATTAAAATTGAACCCAAGTTTACCCTGCTGCCTCTACTTAAAGATTGAAACTCTCCATATATGTGATGCCCTAATGAGTACCATTGAAGGTATCAGGAAACTTATGTTGTAACTAATTGATAGGAGTAATATTAGGGGTAAATGGAAGCTTCTGATGAGAGTCATTATGAAATTATGGAACCTAATGAGTTGAAAAGGAATAGAAACAAGATGTTAACATAATAAGCTGTCTCAAAGACACCTTTTTCTAAATTATTTTCAGCCTTGTAGATTTGAATATAGGGAGTATTTGCATTGCCGAGACTGTGAAATCAAGTTTGCTGAATAGTTTACATTTTAGTAGAAGTAAAGAATTTAAGCTTTGGTTTGGGACAGAATGTTACTGTGATGTCATCAGATCTTGAACAAGCAATCATGGCTGTGATATACTAGTTTAGCACAGTACCAATTTTAGCCTCAAGGCCATCTTTGTCTTGCAGTAAAATAACACGACTTTTGCATAAGGGCATTATAAGTTTCAAGTATCAAGAACACTTTTTATTATTTAAAAAAATAATACACAGCAACTCAGAGGTGTTATAAGTTAAAGATATTTTTGCTCTTTGAAATGTGTTTGATAAAGAAGATAGCATTTTTTTCTTTCTTACAGTAACCACATTTTATATGGTTATTCAGAGGTGATCTACCAGTACATTATGTATTATGATTCCATTTGCTTAGTTCCTGCTAATTTGTAAGCTCACAGTATTATATCTATAGAGCATTTTATCTACCTTGTATTTTTGTATTGATACTTTTTATTTATTTATGATTAGCAGTTTTAAGTTTTATATATTTTTAGTACCTTTTTTGTGTTTTATTATTTATTTATATATTTTCATGTAGAAGGTAATGCACACAGTAAAATATTATGAACATTTACAGCAGAAGAACCATATTAAGTTGTATACGAATTGTGTAGAGTTTGTTGAAGTTAAAATATCTAGTGAATAGCACTAGCAGTTGGTAGACAAGGCTTGGTTGGAAAGACTTTTTTGTATTTGTAATCGCTGTGGCAATGTTGGAAAATTGTATATGGTGAATCATACTTCATACTCGTTGTGATATTTTGAGGATACGCTGAAAAGAGGTTGGACGGATGATAAGAGGATACAAGTTTTGTGACCAGAAAATATGGCTAAAGACTTCGGTTATCTGGGGAACTGAACCTGCCTCAGCCATGCAGGTTTTCTTGAAGGTCTACAACAGATTATCAGAGTGCTGTAATTTTAGCTGTCTTTTTTTTTAGAATGTGATTTTATGTAAAGTTTTAAGTTGTGATTATGAGCATGAAGATTGCTTTTGTGTTAAAAGAGCCTGATTGTATACAGGCTATTGCATGATACCGTACTGAACAGAAGGCAAAAAAAAAAAAAAAATCCAAACTGGTTAGCCGTGTTCTTAAGGGGATATTGAACAATCAACAATCTGTCAAGTTGAACGGAAGGGGAGGGGTGAAGGTGTGAATACTATGGACTTCCGAGCATGTATGTGATGATTTCAAACTAGTCGACTGTGGCACACCCAGGATAATAATAATCTCTATAGACTGGTGAAGGCTGAGACTGAATAAGCGCATTTGATGGACTTCACGAGGGTTGGTGTTGTTCCATCAAGTAAAATTACTTCGGTCGTCTTTCATAGGCCTACTGATCTCTCTCCCTCTCTCAGCCATGGAATTCGGCAAACTGATTTATCTAGCAGCCATACATCATTTTCATGGGTAATTTTATCATGAGATAATAGATATCTTCCTTATCATTATCAAGAAAAGTTAAAACAGAAGAGAATGAGTAAACTTTCTTTAGTTACTGGTCTGCTAGGAATGGACAGTTCCTGCCGTGTTCTATGACACAAACTGTAGATATAGTGACAATGTTATGGTACAAAGGAAAGACAGCTGGGGTATTACCCTCTTGTCGTCTAATCTGTGTTTATCTCTATTTATTATTTCTTATTAATTTTATTTCCTGAAGTATGTATGTATAATACTTACAAAAATTCAAGGCCAGCGACAGTTATGAAATTTATGATTATGATTTAAAGTAGTTGAAAATTACATCTTTGGCAGTGTATTAGTTCTTGTTCTGTAATTTACCTTTTTATTCGTATTTTTTATTTTGTCTTTGTTTAGTTATACAAACAAACTGCAAAAATAACAAGGAAAATGATAGAACTAGCCCAGAAGGTAAACAGGAACGTGTCAAAAAAATTTATTAATTTATTTGAGAAGGATACATTTACTTTTGAAAACAAGTGCGATTTCCTTTTATTAATAACAGAAAATTGAATACTGCTTCTGATTTTTAATGTAAAACAACACAATCATGTATTTTCTTTTATGAGTGTAATAGACACAGGCAAGAGTGTCCCATTTTTTTACAACTTTAAAGTCCAACTGTTCTTCTGTATTAGTTAAAGTACTTTACTATTTTAACAAACAACGCAATTCATAAGTTGTAATTTTAAACGTTCTTTTTCACACCAATTCCTTGCTCGGGAATTTGAACCTGGCCGACTTTTGAACCTGAGTTTAAGTACTGTGATTCTTTGTCATCATTGAGATTCTCTTGACGTTTATATTTTGTTGAGCAAAATACGTGTAAAGATATGGATTTCTCCTTCGTCGTCCTGCTGTGTTTTCTAGTAGCTGATTTCTCTTCTCGTGATTGTTCTTTTCATTTCCACTTTATTTTCCTTGGTTTACATCCTTCCCCAATTCCTCTGATGTTATATGTACAAAGAAATGGGGTGTCCCATCTGTTTGGTTAAATGTTAAAAAAGAAAAAAAAAATGTATTTGCTGTTCACTCTTGACTTGTGAAACAGTTGCCATTACATAATTCTGTTATTATTTTTTCTAATTATATGAAAATGGGTATTGTAGTACAATATAAGGTTGAAAGTTGCATTACTTGTCACAATGGTGGAGTAGTACCTTAGGCTTGATTTTTTTTGTCTTAACTTCTTTCCAAACACAGCATGCAGGGCGGAAATCGAGTCGCCCTTCTCAAGAGGCAGTCCTGTTAGTACCTATGCAGTAGCCGCCGAGCATGACCCCACCACACACACACACACACACACACACACACACACACACACACACACACACACACACACACACACACACACACACACACACACACACACACACACACACGTACACATACACGTACAAATACATGCACACACGTATATGTACATGCACATACATACTCATACATACACTCACTCACTCACTCACTCACTCACTCACTCACTCATTCCACTCACTCACTCACTCTCACTCACTCACTCACCTCACTCACTCACCTCACTCACTCACTCACTCCACTCACTCACTCCACTCACTCACTCCACTCACCCACCCCACTCACCCACTCACTCACTCCACTCACCCACCCACTCACCTCACCTCACCTCACCTCACCTCACCTCACCTCACCTCACCTCACCTCACCTCACCACACCTCACTCACTCACTCACTCACTCACTCACTCACTCACTCACTCACTCACTCACTCACTCACTCACTCACTCACTCACTCATTCACTCACTCACTCACTCACTCATTCACTCACACACTCACTCACTCACTCACTCACTCACTCAATCACTCACTCACTCACTCACTCACTCACTCACTCACTCACTCATTCACTCACACACACATTGAAACACAATACCACATGTAATATAGTGAGAAACATTTTCTTTATGTACTCTTTTCTCTCCTTGTCTCTTCTCTTCTCTCATCTCAAATCTTTTTCTCTTCTGTCTTTGTTTTGCCTCTCGACTCTTGCCTCTCCCCACTCCCCACTCCCCACTCCCCTCTCCCCTCTCCCTTCTCCCTTCTCCCTTCTCCCTTCTCCCCTCTCCCCTCTCTTGTCCCTTGCCTCTCCCCTCTCCCCTCTTGTCCTTTGCCTTTCTTGTCTCCTCTCTCCTCTCTTGTCTCTCCTCTCCTCTCTCCTGTTTCCTATTGAAAACTGTATCATTATTTATTTGAGTTATTTTGCCATGGTTTCTCACTCATGCTCACTCTCACGTGCTCATACATAATGAGCTTTCCAGTACACTATTAAAGACTTTAAATACAGACATCTTGCCTCCCCACTGCCCTTGAAATCAAGCACTCTTAGGAACGAAAAGTGTTTCATTGAAGTCTAGGAAGAAAAAGTCAGCCGTTTAGTTTTTACTTGCAGTGTTGTGGCTTTCATTGTTGCATTTTCTTTTTGTCTTTTTTTCCTTTTTTTTCAACATTCCTTCATTCACCTTTTCACATTTCGGTCCTTCCTACCCTCATCCTTTTTTTTCTCACTCTCTCTCTGTCTCTCTTTTCACAAATTTTGTTTTGATGGGTAAGTACAGTGCACCATGTCAGTCCACACATTCTACATTACATTTTTTCTTATAAAGGGTTTAGATCCATATGTGCATTTTATATACGGTATATATTTTTTAGCCACTCTCATTCATACATAGCTTCAAGTTTGTGAATAGGTAATTTGAACCTTGTAATATATATACTTAGGGTGGTATGTAGGGGAAGAGCCAATAAAGTGGTGTTACACACACCAAAAAAAAATAAAAACTACAAGAAAAAAAGACACAAAAATGACAAAAAAAAAAAAAAAAAAAAAAAAAAAAAATCGGTGCCAAACAGACCAATTATTTATCTATCTGTATTGATTTCTTTACCTCCTAGTGTGCCATGTTTTCTCATTTTTTTGTACAATGTTGTTAAAATTATTGTCAGCACAAATAGTTTAGGCTCATATCAAGAGAACTTTGTTGTTGGTAATTAAGAGTATGTTAACAGTGTTTAATTTAAAGATTAAGTCAGTGTCCTATAGTGGTTTGCCTGAACAAGATTTTTTGCGCACAATCAGGTTTCCTTTTCAATGTAAATGCGAACGTCATCTTGAATGAGAGTGATTGGAGGACTCTTACGGTAAAAGAAGTGAATGGTAGCGAAAACGAAAAATGGAATTTCCAAACACAGGTGCAATTCTTATACATCCTTGAGTGTAAAAAACAAACCGTACTTATTTTGTATAGTGGTGTCATAATGCTATTTTTCTTCCTTCCTTTTTTGATGTTTGTAGAGATGCAAGCATGAAGAAAATTTCAATCAATGGAAGTTTCTCAGGAGGTGAATAAGAAGTTGATCCTAGTTGTTAGTAAGGTTCATTGCTTTATTCATGTTATAAGAGTAAATGAGCTTTATTGAAGTGCCATCTCGGGCTCACCCCTTGGATGGTTTCACATTACAATTTTCGGTTAATAGATCTGGTCATAATTATTTTCTTTTCTTACATTATCTTGCGGAAAGTTTGGGGAAGGTTGACGATTTCTAGGCACTTGAAACTGATCATTAGAGGAAAGTGTAATCATATCGGAAAAAGTAAGGGAGAGAAAAAAAGAAAAATCCAAGTATGATCATGAGGTTAGTACTTTTCGTCAAGCCAAAAGCGTCTAATGTCAGTGCTGTCCTTTAGAAACGTGGAACTTTGAGGCCAAACTTCTGCCTAGGAGGAAGAGTGGAGGTTTTAGTCACCAGAGGTGTCGCACTTTTGGGAAACAGATTACATATGCCATCCACATTTTCTCTTTTGCTCAAGACAGTTTATGCGTAATATTGTATGTGAAGTTGAATGTAAATTAGAGGATTTTTCGGGCAACATTTGGAGTGAGATATCCATTTACATTCAATTTGTCATGTCTGAAAGGTTTATTTTTAGTGAAATATGGATAATTAGGAAATGTGAAGACTGTCTTGGCACTTTTTAAATGTACTTAAAATGGATTTTAGCCACAATTGTGTTCCAAAAGGGAAAATAAGCCATAGGCTGAGCTCATTAGTATGTAAAGTAACATGTGGTGTTCTCTTTGTATATTTTATGTAATTTATTGTCAAATGTAAATATAAAAATGAATATGGATTATAGGCCTTTTATTCATACCCTATTTAAGTAAAGTATTTATAGAGAATTGGCACTGCTCAGTGGGAGAGTGCTGGCTTTACAGTCGCATGGTTGCCCATCTCAGTTGAGCCCCGACCCATGCCATTGTTATCGGGGGATGTAGGATACAGGAACTGAGACCTAATGTTGGGCCACAGCTCCCGTGCTGAAAAGATAAAATATTGGCATTTTGTCAGCCCTGAATGGCCTCAAGGAACCATAGGACATGGATTCCCTTGCTTGGGTCACCCACCTGTCACTACTCTACCTATTGGAAACGTTCCTTCCTCTCTCCCAATATCCTTTCTCTCAATCTCTTCTTCCTTCATTTTTTTCCCATTTTCTACCCACACCCTCACTCGTTGATTGTTTCATGAGGCCGCAGTAGCCGAGTGGTCAGAGAATTAGACTGAAACTGTCATAACAATCCGAGTTCGACAGTTCGGTTCTCTGGGCAAGGAACTTCACCTCGACTGCCTACAGCCATGAGAGTCCACAATCCATTGGAATGTCCCGTGCTGGTCCCAAGCCCGGATGAAAGGGGAGGGTTGGTGGCAGGAAGGGCATCCAGCTGTAAAAAAAAAAAAAAAAAAAAAAAAAAGAGACTATGATGCGGATCATTCTGCTGTGACGAGAAGAGAAGTCGTAAGAAGAAGAAAAAAATCGTTGAATGTTTCTTAATATCTCTTCTACACTAGAACATTTAAATTTTCGTTCTTACAGATCTCTATCCTCCATTTGATCTAATCCCCCCCTAACCCCCCTTTTCCCTCTTGCTAATCCCTGCCCTTCTCCATTTACTCACCCATTTTACATATTTTCAATACTGTACTAAAACTAAAATGCCGTACGACTTTTAACTTGAAGCACACGTAATCATTAATTCGTTAACTCGCCCCCTTTCTCACCCAAATTACCACTATACCTTCCTACAATGCTGCATGATCTTTGCTGTCTGTCACAATTATTTAACCCTACCACATCATCTCACAGCTTAAGACGCATGTTCCTCAGTGAACGAACCCCGACGTCCAATGGGATATGGGACCGACTTTGACTTGTAGAATATTGAGTTTCGTGGCGATCCATGGCTGGGTACGGCAGCAAGTTTGATTATTTAGCCGTTTTGTGAAATGTATAAGGGGATTTCCATAATAGCTGTTTTACCGGCCTGTATGTCTGCTGCACCCCCATAATACGTAAGATGTAAATAGAGATATATAGAAATATAGATGCAAGCTAATATAAAGACCGAAGTATAGAATGTAAAGATAAAGATACATTATATATATATATATATATATATATATATATATATATATATATATATATATATATATATAGATATATATATATAGATATAGATATATAAATGCATATGGAAACCGATAAATAGTTGGAAACTGATATATATATATATATATATATATATATATATATATATATATATATATCATATATATATATCATATATACACACACACACATATATATTTATATATGTATGTATGTATGTAATATATATATATATATATATATATATATATATATATATATATATATATATATATATATATATATACAATCTGTATCTATATCTATATCTATCTATCTATCTATCTATCTATCGATCTATCTATCTATCTATCTATCTATCTATCTATCTATCTATCTATATATATATATATAAAATTATACATAAGTATAGTCATACGGATGTGCATATGAGGCTGTAGATATAAATTGATGTCGATAATAGGTAGACAAATATAGAAAGGTAAGTAGATAGATAAGTATGATACATATAAACATGAACCTCGACATATATATATATATATATATATATATATATATATATATATATATATATATATATATATATATATATATATATATATATATATACGAATATGTATGATCACATGCATAGGTCTTGGAAAAGGTATATATAAACACTGTGTGCACATTTTTATGCATTTATTATATTTATATTTGTAATATATTAGGTCTTGAAAAAGGTAAACATATATGAATATATAACATACACTGTGTGTGTATATTTTTATATATTTTTATGTGTATCGCACTCGCGCGCACACACACACACACACACACACACACACACACACACACACACACACACACACACACACACACACACACATACACACACACACACACACACACACACACACACACACACACACACACACACACA